AAATATCAAATCTGACTTAGAGATGGTGCAAGTGACCGAACCACCCAAGAGAAAAGCTGGGATTATTGTTCAATCGGTGGACGAGCTGATCGATAAGCTTAAAAATGAAGCTCGAGTTATCTGAATTACATGCTGGCATGTCCCAAATCATCAGTAATTTCTCTTCAAATGTATGTACTGGAACCAAAAAACATAAAAATACAACTTTGCAAAACAGCTTCCTATTTAATGAAATTTTTTATTGGCCACCAGTAGACATTGACAAATTCCCTTTTACTTTAGTCCCAACACTGAGTTTGATAGCATGGATATTAGTATTTACAATGAATGCAAGCCAGTAGGGAAAAGGTTCTTCGTGAATAAATTACCTTGTATAAACTACACAACTAGTTGTAGTAATGTCTTATTACTTGCATTGTGTTCTTGTAGCAAAATGTCTTACAAATTTTTATTTTGAAACAGAGTATGTTGATATTAGTAAATTTTGATGTATTGTTTTCAAGTTATTATTTTAATAATTTTATTTATATCAACTTACGGTTATAATAATAATGCCTCTACCTACATTCAATATGATTGACTTGCAAAACATTCAATATTACTAATACTTTGGTAGAATCTAACACCTTTATTACACATATTTTTATGTCTTTTGAGGTCAAACAAATATAGATACTCCTCAAAGCATATATTAGTGGGATACTCAGTTAAAAAAGGCTATTTTTATGTTCGGAAATAAACAAATTAGCGGACATCCTCCTTAAGAGAGCATAAGAAAAAAAGAATGGATGTTTTTTTTATATTATTATTATAAAAACAAGAGGATCGCCTAACGTGAGTCAATTTAGCAGGAGAGTTTTCAAGAATATATGCGTAGTGATGTGTAAATTTAGCAGAATTTTAATACCATTAAATATTTTTGAGTGGTTTTTTAATTAAGAAAATGGTGAAGAAAGCACAGTACGGAGAAGAAGGAAGATAAACTTCCACGAATGATTCTTTTACCTCCTCGATCAAAAATTAATTACTTGTTTTTTTTTTTTCCTCTTCAAAATGAATATAAATCAAAAAGTTTTCTTTTACTAGGGGAATATTAATTATTGTATTTACTACTCCGTGATTAACAACAAGATTCAGTAACCATCTTGGATTTCTTAAGCTCAACACCGTTATAATTTTACAGAATATATGAAAAGGTTGACTTGGGAACTTTTTACAAAAAATTGTGCAAATAAAGTGTTGTTCCCAACAATATATTTTTTTTTTTTAAAAAATGAACGGTAATATTGCACTTGGCAGATGCAGAAGCAAATGCTTATACTGAATTATTACGAGCTCTTAAACAATAATTTTTAAAACCCATTTATTAGATTATTATACAAGTTGATGATCTTGGAGCCGTAAAAGTAAACTCATCCATCTCACGTATCAAAGAAATAATTTGCAATAAATTTGTTCCCATCATAATAGCTCTCTCCGATTGTCTGTCCAATCCAAAAAATGTTATAGTTGGATAAATATTATTTCAATATGTTATAATAAAATATCTGTTAGTTTATTATGTATGATGTTTTAAATTTTTTAGAATACTTTATCAGCTTAGAAAAATTCCGTTAATTTTATAATATAAAGATAATAAATGTAAATTTTTAATTTTGAATAAAAGAAAAGCAATTTAAAAAAAGAAAGAAAAAAAAATTAAAAAAATGAATATTTTCCGGCCCAAGAGCTAATCCTGTGGGCCCTACCACATTTATTGGCCCAGAATCCGTGAAAATGCCGCCACTGGCAGCTTGGTTGGGTGGGCTGTTGATAAAAAGATTCGGCGGCGCGCAACCCAATCAATCAATCTAACCAACATTAATTGATCCTTTCCTTCCACGTGTCGCCATTTTACTGGTCAGACTATTTCTACTGTACCCTAGCATAAATTTCCTTTTTTGTTTTTTCCCTTTTATTTTTTTTATTTTTTTATTTTTTTTTCATTTTCTTTTTCGAAGTTCAAAGTTCAATTGTTTATCGTTCCAGCTTTCATGCCCTCTCCGAGATTGCGTATCCAAGAGTGGTCAAGTCCAAATCGTTGTCGGAGCTCAAATGGAAGCTTTAGATGAGGCTGATTGCTGGGATTTCCTTGATTACAATATCATCGGCGACAACACGTCTCCCGATTTATTTTGTTTCAATGACACGTTTGTTATTCTTTCCTTTTCATCATTTATTTTTTCCTTCAATCACTGATCGGCTATGGTTCTATTTGATTCTCGCCTTTATCTGTGTGGGTTTTGATTTTAATCTCTTGATTTTTGGATCGTATTGAAAGGAAAAATATTTCATTTCTAAGTTTGGGGTTTAATGCACGGAGAAGATAATGAAAAGTGAGAATTTATGAATCATTTGGTCTCTTCTTCAGTGCTGCTTGCATTTAGTTTTTGCTCTAGTCCGATGAGAAAGAGAATAGAATCTTTATTAAGTTATTCTGCAATGTTGAGTAGCCAAACAGTTATGGATTAGGGATACAGTATGTCTATGTGGGGAAGGGATGGAATAGTGTCTCATTTGAGGCATAAACATTTATTGGCTTGAAAGTACGGTCGTTTACTGCAATCCGTTGTTTGCTTTCAGGGGTGGAGCAGAGTTTGATTTTTCATCTGGTGTTGTGTTACAAGAGAAGGAAGGTGAGCAGAAAGAATGCACGCGAAAGAGGTATTAATTTGCTCTGTTATCCTTAAATTTTTACCCTTGATGTTTGTTGTTGAGATTCAAAAGTCTTGCTGTCTTTTGTCTTTCTCATCCTGTTTTCCTCGTAGTTATATGTTTTCATCTTTTCGCATCTAGTTTTTTCAACAAAAACTGTTAAGATAGAATTTGGACTTTCTGAAGCTTGAACAAATTTTAGAGCCCCTGCTTTCTTTTCAAGTTTGATTTGTTCATATATTTGAAAGTTTATAATTATTTTGAGTTTCTGAGTTTTGTTTCTTTTATTAATATTTCAGAGATGATTTGGATTTTAGAGATGAAATAACAGAACACTATTACGTCAAAAATTGGTTCCCAATTATTACACAGACGTGCTCTTTATAATTTTCTTCATTGTTCTGTAGTAGTGATGAACTGATTTTTGCCTATTGTGGTTTACATGATGATATTGTTCTTATGGTTGCTAGGGGACGAACTGGATCATGCAGCAGGCCGGGGACAAAGGCTTGTCGTGAGAGATTGCGGAGGGAAAGACTGAATGACAGGCATGTTGAACTTTTCTTTTGTTTGTCTGTGGTGAAATGCTACTTTTTTGTTTATTTATTTATTTTTTTCTGAAAAAATAGCTTTTTGTTTACTTTAAACGGTAGATTTTCTTCTGCCAATGGTGCAGGTTCCTGGATTTGAGCTCTGTTTTGGAACCTGGCAGGCCTGCAAAAACAGACAAGCCAGCCATTCTCGATGATGCCATTAGAGTTTTGAATCAACTAAGAGCTGAGTCTCAGGAGCTTAAAGAAACAAATGAAAAGCTAGTTGAAGAAATAAAAAGCCTGAAGGTTAGTTTTGCATTTAGAGTTCTGATATAACAGTCCTATGGATTCCTCAATCTTCATCAAATGCTTTGCTTAATGGCCCCTAACTTGTGTTACCTTGCACTTTACTTCACTTGGGAGAATTAGTTGGCTTTTGCATTTTTTGAATTACATTGGCCTTCTGTGATTTTTCATGTGTCGTATTTTGTGGATATGTTTATGGAGGATATCACTTAGGGGCCATTTTATTCGCCGAAGAGGATGCCTTACAGGCATCAGTTTCCAGGAAATCCTTTGCTAGATGAAAGATTACATCTCATTGGGAAGATATCTGGTCAATTTGTGGACAAGGATTCTGGGTACCCAAAATAATTGCACTTTGGGAGTCTTATCCTAGTAATGTACCAAAGTATCCTTTTTAGCTATAGCACCTAAATACCTGAGTTCTTAAGAGCTGAAAGAAAGGCTAACATTAACATATAACAAACACCTAGTATGGAGCTTTAACAAGCATGGGTTTATTAGACTTGAAAGACTCAGTATTTTAAGAGTTTGGACATATAACTACGTAAATTTTGTACCTAGCTTATTTTGGAAGATTTTCACTCACTTAGAAGCTGTTTATTTTCTTGCCTTTTGAAATGTGAACGCTGAAATTGAGTTTTCTTCCTTTTCTTTTCCCATTACAAGTGTCTTATCAAGGGAGGTCATCTATGTCTTCTGAGGTAAGTAGATAAGGATATTTTTAGGTAAGAGTTAAAGTGAGGTGAGAATGGAGGATATCCATATCTTACAGTGGGTTTGAGCTTCCAATGATCAACATGTTTAAAAATCTGCTACTATTTGGAAATCAGTTAATCAATTCATGGAGGAAGCAGTGGCTTGTGTGGCCAAAAAGAAAAAATTTCCTGAAACTCTCATACCATACCATTTTAGTATACACAAACAGCCCCTCAGTTCCATCATTTTTATGGGAGTTCATTGCTTATTTGGAAAATATGCCAACTCTATTATGAACATTGTTTGTTACATAATGTTCCATTGCAAAAATGGAATTATGATGAGTCCTAATTATATCTGAGATCAGGGTAGGGTTGTTGAGTGTAAGAGTGAACACAGAAGTGAAGATGTGTGAATATCTAGGGCCGCCTCACGGTTGTACGGGCTAACTGAGGTGGTTCATAGCTGTTGAAAGAAGATTAACAGCATTGATAAGATCTTATTAATTTATTTTGATATTATATTTCCATTATTTATCTGAAAGAAGTTTTGTTAATTTAGTATACGAGTAGAAATCAGGTAAAAAAGAAAGGTCCTGAAGTAATTCAAGGGGTAATATAATTATATTATATTAAAAAGTTGAATCTTAAATTTGAGTTGGAGCAGGACTCAGTACACCAGTTTGTACGCAGTTAGTTGTCTGTCGATTATTTTGAATTTCTTATTAACATCCATTTTTTTGTTGAAGGAAAAAAGGCAGTGCAGAATAGAGATGAAGTAGGATTTCTAACAGACTAAGAGTTGTATTTCTAGCTTGTCTGCAATTTATTGTGATAATGCGAATAACATTAGGACTTTTTAGTAGCTTAATATTTTTTTAGTTTACATACTTTTAAGCTTTAAGTTTTCTATAAGGATTCTCTAATTTTATTTACATAAATATTTTATATTTAAGCACTATAAGTACCTGCATGATCTCACTTTTGAGATCTTAGCCTTGAGTGAATCAATTATTATGTGAGTTTCCTCAATACCTTAGCTATATGATCTAATCAACTCCAAAGTATGCTTGAAAACACTCGCCTTAGATGGGATGCTTAAGGGATCTTAAGCGTGAGTGATAGTTAACTTTTCTGTTAGTTCGATCCCAATCTCAGGTGTAATGATTAACTTACTAATTTTGCCTCAAATCTCTAAGCAAACAAATGAATCCTAGTTTGTCCTACATAAAAAATGCTTATTAGATATTCATCTGTTAAAAGATTGGACGTTTTCAAGGTCATGAACTTTGTTTTGCAATATTTGTCTGTGCATCTCGGATTTATTTGTTTGTCTTTTCCTTTTATGTTAAGTTAAATATCGATTTGATTCCTTACTGAACAGGTGATAATACAAATCTATGATTGTGGAATTGAAGATATAATTGGAGTTGATCCGATGTATCAAATTTTAAACCATAACTGATATTCACTTATCAATAACTAAAGTTTAGAAATTAAATGGAATAAATAGGATGGAACCAAGCCCAATGTTCGGTCCTTGAATAGTTTGGAGATATTAGATTATGTCTGCTGCCTTTACATGTTTCTGAAACCAAATTTTAGGAATACCTAACTGAATTCTGTGATGTCATTTCTTGCATGGATTGTGTAGTAAAGTTGACAACTTGTTCAGACTTTTCATTTTGTCATGATTGTTAGTGGAAAACTGAGAAGGTTCTTTTTTGACATTCTGCTCTTTAAACAGGCTGAGAAAAATGAACTTCGTGAAGAAAAACTTGTGCTTAAAGCTGATAAAGAAAAGATAGAACAGCAGTTGAAAGCCATGGTTGTTCCATCTGCAGGGTTTATGCCGACTCACCCAGCTGCATATCATGCTAGTGCTAATAAGATGGCTGTTTTTCCTAGTTACGGCTTCATTCCCATGTGGCAATATTTACCACCATCATCTCGTGATACATCTCATGATCATGAACTCAGGCCACCTGCAGCATAGATTTTGATTTCAAAATAATTATTTTGAATGACTGGCTAGTTTTCAGTCTTTCAGATGCTTTGTTTTATTATCATACAACATTTTTTTTTAATCAATTGACATGTAAATATCCATTGTGTTTGGTTCAATTCCTAATCATTCCCTCATAATTTTCAGCTCTAATTGTTATATTACTCTTAACACATAGAATTAAGACAGTTTTATGTCTGATCTCCTCCACCCATTTCTTGTATTCCCTAGGTTCCAACTTCCATAGAATTCAAAATAGAAGTGGGGATGAGATTTAGCGTACAAATAGTCTTTTGACTCTACATGTCAAGATTAATATAAGGATTAGATGCAAGAAGTAAGGGAGAATGAAATAGGAATTGAACCAAATGGAACCTTTTTATTAATTGATTTGGAAATTCAACTATTAGATGGATAGCAGGACAGGCCAAAGAGGTAGATGGTAGTTCAATAAAATTTTTGCAGTCCATTGTTTAGAGTTTTGTCTGCGTACTTTCTCTCCCTGGATCATGTATTTGAAAGTCGTCCAAGGTCTTTTGATTTCTCAGAATAAATCCAAGGCGCTGCGAACCAAGAAGAAATTGTATCTTATGCATGAATCATGTGAAGCGCAATGGTTATGATGAAGTTTCTTCCCAGGATGGTCAACCATGAATGAGAGGTTCCTGTACTGAGTAAAATTTCACTCAGAAGAGGGAGGGACTAGCTGATGCCAATTTATGTTGAATTTTGCTTTTTATTCTGATAGGTGTGCAGAAATTTGTGTTTCAAATTGTTAGGTAATGGCGTGAGTGCCTAGGTATCTTGTCTTGTACATTTATCTGCCAAACTTTATGCTCTGGAATACAGTATCGAGCTTTTAAGTTTTTCTACAGCGCTTCTGAGCAGGGAATGGATAGATGAATTTAAGGATCTTATCAGTAATACAAGGGGGAGAAAATACAGATTGGCAATTGGGAATAGGCAAAATGATTGCGTTTCATGAACTCATCACGTGAAAGTCTGGTTCCTGTCATAATAATAATAATAATAATATATATATATATATACATTTTGTTTCTGAAGCACACCTTGGCAGAGCATATGCATCCTCGCTGTTTCTTGTTCAAATTTTGTATTTTTATTTGAGTTACTCAATTTTTTATAAGCCTTTGGTTTTGTTTGGAAGAGAGATTATTTTGTGTTAGTTAAGGTTTGTCATGTGAAACTTGTGGTTCAGCTGAAGTGAGTATCTGCATCTTGTTTTCATCGTTCTTTCTGGTGTCATCATCTTGGTCATGTTCTTTTCCCCATAGCAGCAAATAGAGGCCAATGATTACAATAACTCCCCCTAATATGCTGGAAAACCCACAGCCACAGGTGAAGAAACATTAGAGTATTAACATGAACACGCTATACCAACATTATAACTTCAAATTTACCTGCCGAAGTAGAGCTTTTCACCCATGACAGAGTATGCAAACACTGCCACTGATATTGTGGAAAGAGGATTGAACATGGTCACAAAAACTGGCCCTTTTTCTTCTGTGCACCATAATTGAAAGTAAAATACTATTCCAGAGATCACCACTCCCTGAAATCCATAACAAAACCCACAATTATAATTTTACTGAGAACTACTTAGTCTGCCCAAAATTCTTTACTTACACCATATATAGTTGACCACAAGTCAATGTTGAACCCTATTGTCCAAGCTGCTGCTCTATGCTCAACGATAACCGTGAACACGGCTGATTGTGCTGCCCCGATAAACGACATCCATGTGGTCAGTGACAGTTGTGCTGGATAGCGCTTCAGTGTAAGTGCCTATAGTTTGAAGAAAAAATATCGGAGGCTTACATTCGTTGAGTATTAGATAGTTTGTTGTGAGATTAATGAGTTGGGAGAGTGAAACCTGCATAATGTACGTGAGAGACCATGTTATGCAGCTAGCAACTACAAGAAGTGAACCCTTGAGCCAATTCTCATGGATGATGGAGTTGCTTTGGATGTGAATTAGAGGATGCCATGGGTGTTTCATGACAGGTCCCTTGAACAATGTCATTGTTGTTACACCAGCTAAGGACACTAAGGTCCCGGCAACTTTCGCCATCCCGCGACCGCTCCTAATATCAACAGCTTCTAATCTGTGTATAATTATAATTTCATTTGCACATGTTTGCTTGAATTTAGTGATCTTATAATATAATTAATGTAATACAACGAAAATAATGATATGAAATATCTGGGGGGAGAGTATATATGGGTTAAGATAGGAGAAGGTAACCTAAGAACAACAGCAATAACAAAGGTCAAGGAAGCTATGGTGTTGACCATAGATGCAAGAAAAGTTGGTGATGTATATCTGAAGCTTGCAAAATACATGTTCAGAGTTGAACTCACTCTGCAACCATAATAAAAAATAGTTATTAGCTTTAGGTTTTTTCACTTCCTCAAAATTATCTTTTAGCATATATAATATATGTATAGGCTTACCCCAAGATAGAGAGAACAAATATTTCCAAGAAAAGGGCTATTGTCATCTTTGGCCTTAATTTCCTGATTACAAGGTTATCAGAAAGGAAAATATCAGTAAATACTCTCTTGTTAATCATTCAAGTCTGAAGCATCTGAAAATGCTGGTAACTAGCCACAGACACATACATGAAACAGTTATAATATATACATATGTGTGTGTGTGTGTGTGAATTGCGGATACCTCTCCAGGAAATAAGCCAAAGGGAACATCACTAGAGCGGCCACAATATGACGATAAGTAATATAGACATGAGGATTCATGCCATGAGCAATGGAAGCTTCTGTTATGAAGTAGAGAAAAGTGTAGGCTATCTGAGCAAGAACCATAAGGATGTGAGGCTGGAACCTTTTGCAGATGTTCTTCCCACCATCTGCCATACCCTCGTCACTATTCCTTGATCTATACTTTTAATCACAAGAAGATTATAAAAATTAAACATGAAATCCGTCGGTACATATTCAAGATTATATAACAAATCGGACTTGATTCTTATTGCGTGTTGGAGTTAGCATCCTGTTCCCTGGCTAAATTCGATGATACATACAGTACCTATGGGAAAATGGAGGAAATATTCGCACCATATTCGTTCACTACTGAGGATAATTACATTTATACGTATATGCGCGCACGCTCGCGCCTGTGCTACTAGCTAATTATGAATAATAATTATTTGTTATAATCACCAGCTAGCTCCTATATAAGCATATATAGATATTATATACATACGTGTTGGAATTTTGTAGATATTTAGTCATGTAAACGACGGTGGCTATAGTGCAATCTTCTACATGGCCCATGTGGAACTAAAATTGATAATTAATAATACTTGTAATTTTTTTTTTAATTTCGTTTTAAATTTTTGTTCAAATTACGTCTTAATTCCTCCATCACATTTTAATTTTTTCTAAAGTTATCATGTAAAATTTATTTTTAATTTTCATTTTTCAGTTTGTATTCAAGTAAAAAGTTTTAATGTTTCTTTTGCTTTAATAGAAACTAAATTTAACTTGTATTTTTAAGAAGGTTTTTTTATTAGTTTAAGTTTACAGTTAGACTAATTCATTTGTTTAATTTAAACTCACACGAGTGAGTCAAAGAATTGTTACAAGAAAATTATTTTGTACTATATTTTAATAATTAAATGATACATACATATAAATTATAATATATATATATATATTTTATTATAAAAAACAATATGCATTAAGATTATATATCTTTATTCCAATCCATGGAGAGAATGAAACACTATTATCCATCAAATAAATTGTTTTGAGAGAACTGAAAGCTGGCGGTGAGAATATTATTATATTTCATACCTGTTTGTATGTCATCTGCGAAGGTGACTGATTATGGTATGAATATAGGGCCAAAAACTTTACTGATTCTCCAAATTGAATGCGAATATTTTCAGGAAATAAACCACCAAAAAGTTGATTCAATTTAAGGTAAAATAACTATTCGCTATCTTGTGATCCTATTTTGCTTAATTTAGAGTTAATTTAATTTTTTCAAATTTATTACTTATTCCACAAGTTAAAATATACACCTCTAATTTGAAATTGCTCACCTCTCACGTAAGGTTCCAATATCTTTTTTATTTTTATTTTTTATGTTAAATTTAATTTTAATTTTAATTTTTCTTTTACTCTTTTTTTTTTTTTTATGTGTTTTTCTGTTTACGTAAGTTTTATACTTCTATTTGTTTTTATTTTTATTTTTTTTAAAAAAATTTATTATATATTATATATGAATATAGAGTCGGTCATCTATGCCTTTAGTCCAAGAGAAGAAACTCTTATCATTTCAATAATCTCGTTTCAAAAGTTTTATAATTATTGTTTCAATAATAAAAAAAAATTTAGGTGATAAGTGTTATGTATGTTGTATAATTGAGATGAGTATGTAATGTCATAATGATAGGATTTATGTTATACAAATTTAGTTCATAAAATCCTTAATTATAAGATTAAAATAACACGAACCTTATTAAATTTGGATAGATTAACACATAATGAGGTACATCATTGAAAACTATTTTTTCTCATCAAATACTAGTATAAATAATATCATGATGAACTATGTTATCATCGTCTTGAAGAAAAGTTCTTTTTGGATTTCCAGTCATGACCACCTCTAAATTCCACGTTTTCTTTTGGGTTTACTTTTCTTTAAAACTAAAGAATACTTTTTGAGTAATTTGGGAGGCAAGTGGATCTTCCTTTCACTATTCAAGTGTCCAGACTGCCAATTTTATTGGTGTAGGGTGGTTCTTCGACTCAATTTTAACGCATGACATTAATTTCAAAATCTTCCGGATATTATCACTTTACACAACAAACCACCACAATTAAAAGACAATCAAAACAAAGTATTACGAAATGAGGAAATTTTTTGATATTCAAATGAGTTATTCTTCTTCTTTCTTTTGTTAAAACACCATAAAACAATTAGTAAATTAAACAATTCGAATAACCTGTGCATGAATGGCATGCTTACCCTACAGCCGATAGCTAAATCATGATTAACGCTGTCACGCTCCCACACTCAACATAAGGCACAATTCCTGCTCATATCATTTTCATGCAGTAGACCCATAAAATATATATATGAATAGATCAAAAATATGATATAACCTAACATCTTATGTGATATATGTAATAATTATATATACAAAATATGATGTCAAAATTTAGAGTTTAACAAAACAAAACGAAAATTTCTCGGATTTGTACAAAATATACAAAAATAAGAACATTTTTTACAGGTTATACTCATCTGTCAGTAGTGCTGGCTCTTCATTCTTTTCTAAAAATATCATAGTAAACTTTAATGAGCTTCACCAACTCAATAAATATTTTCATCCTTTCAACCCAGATAATATTTCATGCAAAACATACAGAATGAGATAAATGCAGTAGTGATGTTTCAATGTAAAATTTATTTATTATTTTTACCACTTCATATGTTTATGATCAATTTCTGAATTCTCTCGAATATCATATACAATCATCAAACATATATTCATATACTCTCGAAAGAACATAGATATACTCGAAAGATTATTTATAAGATTTCATCGCGTGATGCCGTTTATGTTGTTGTCGAGAAAAGGCGAAATAGATCCCCCCATCGCATGAATAATATACATATAAAGTAACGACCCCGAAAATTTTAAAAGAAATGCATATAATAATTTAAATGCAGAAGCGAAATAAAGGTTAATGTTAACATCCCTTACACGATAACTCAAAAGTACTAACAAACATTACGGAACAAATTTTTTGAAAGAAATACGAAAAATAAAAAAAATAAAAGAAATTATAAAGTATCTAGGGTCTACTTGTAGCCTTCTTGCAGATCAGGCTCGGGAACCGGATCTTCCTGATATGAAATAGTTAAATAAAGGGTGAGTTACACTAACCCAGTAAGGACATCACAATATATCACCGTCACAGAAGTAAAGGTTGGTAAAAAACTAAAAACAACCAATGGAGCACAAATTTTAAACAAATTCATTTATCAATAATAATACCATTTACCGTCAACTTACCGCAGTGAGATTTATAAAAACAACTTATGGAAACAATAATATTATAAATATCATGATTTCATTTATAATCTGCAACATAGCACATATTATACTTTTATATTCAAATTATCAAACAACAATTGCTTTTTTTTTATCAGCCTACTAGTATCCATGGGGATCCATAGGGGTGTCCCCGCTACACATGAACCCTTTTCATTAACAATCTTAATTCCAGGGCCGTTCCTATACTCCATCTGGTATGAGCGTCAAGACATTAAACCTCAATACCCCGTTCGGTATGAGGGTGAGGCGGACCGTCCCCATACCCCGTCTGGTATGAGCACTAAGATATTAAACCTCAATACTCCGTCCAGTATGAGAGCCAAATGACCAAGTCTCCATACCTCGTCTGGTATGAGACAACGTTCATGGTAGGGTTCCCTATGAACCCGGTCTGTCCACCATCTTCTAAAATATCTAGTGAGACTGTCACCTTATCTGTTTATTAGATCACATCCATTTCCTGCTTATCCTTAATCTCCGTTACCAAGTTAAATACAATCACATAAACAATAAACATATACCCGGTAATACAATCATATCTTAAATTCTAAAATTACACAGTGGTAAAGTAATACAGTAATGCAGTTAAAACTCTAAAATCAGCCATCATGCCTTTAAACTGTAAAATAAATCAACAGAAATCAACATAGAACAATGTCCGATTTCAGGCTCCATTAGCAATCTGTAGTTAATTATGTATATTTATCTAACTTGTACAAAAGACCGTATTATTATTTATTCAAACTTCATATCTATGATAGGAAATAGGGTGAGGGGTCCTTACTTGATTCGACACCGAAAACTAGATAGTTACTGCACTTACGGGCGGTTCCTAGGTTCCTTGAATTTTTTTTCGAGAATTGAAACGCACCTATGGTACCTACAAGTGTCCCAAATAAACCCAAAAATCAGACTCAAGGCCCACTCGGCCAATTTCGAAATTCTGGCACTGCGGCTCCGCCATGTTCCGGCGACGGCGCCACTACTCGCGATGGCGATCCGCCTCGGAATGACTGTTTTTGGCTGAATTCAGCCGAACTTACACTGGTTCCTGCGAGTAAACACACTTAGTGCCCTCGATGGGCCGAAAAAATACAGAAAATCGAAACTCACCGACAACGGGGCTCTCTAGTGCGGCGACTCCTCTGGCTCACGTTGCAGTTGAGTGTTTTGTTTCAGTCAACTTATAGAGAAGGAAATGATGGTCACAAAGGTGGAAAAATCACATCAAACGGGAATCGGAAAGGACCTCATCGGAGGTATTTTTTGAAACACCCCGCGACAGCAGCGTTGAGTTTCGGCGGTATTTTTCGGCCAATTGGCTGGTTCTTTCACTCCGATTTTGCCATGGGTGGGTTTAAAATTAAATTTTGTGCAAGAGGATAAATTTTTACCTCATTTGGCGGTTGGAAATTGCTCAGATACGGCGGCGGGTGGTGGAGATCGGCTCCCCGACGGTTGGGCTGTCTTCTCTGGCGAGGGGCTCTAGTGGCTAGGGTTAGGGTTTGGGTGCGGATGAGGTTATTTATACCCATCCGCTTTTGATCTGAGCCGTCCGTCGCTTTTAATATGGACCGTCCGGTTATGATTAAATAGGGAGTGAATTTGGACTGTTCATCGCTATTCAATATAGGCCGTCTGTGCGCAATTCAATCTGGACATTCCGTGCGCGATGTAATCTGAGCCGTTCGTGCGCATTTTTATTTTGGGTCGTCCGTGTGCACGAGAACGGATCTCAGCCGTTCGATCACGCGTATGCGGATCGCCCACGTGGCTCCCCCGCATGGCCTCCCGCATCAGCGCCTCTACCACCTGACGCGTCCTGATTGGTCGGGGCAGCTGACCGG